GGCCACACTGATGCTCTCATTGAGCCATTGAGTCCTCAACTCTGCTGCCACAGTGAGTCTGCTCTGGTCCTCTTGTATCTTTACCTCACAACCTCAAGGTTCAAAGTTCAGAGTAGAAGCAACCATTTAGCCAAGGTGAGGTTATCTGCCCAAGTAGAGGGTTGGCCTTTGGTAGGATGAGGGAGGGATACCTCACCCCCTCATTCTCTCTGGCAAGAGGGTGGATAGTTTGGATACAGATGCTGGGAGGGAGGTGGGTTTGGAGAAGGGAGATGAAGAAATCTGATTGCTTGCTTCTGTTTTCTCAATGCATTATGACAAAGGACTATCATTTCCTTTGAAGTAAGAAGTGAGAAAGCACTGTTGGAGATTTGAAAAAAGAAAAGGTATGAAATCGCACTTTTGGAGGGGGGTGGTCCAGTTATTTACTGCTACATAATAAATGACCCCAAAATGGTGGCTTACAAGAATATAATAATTTATTTTACTTATGATTCTGGAAGTCAAATATGCCCTTTTGCTAGGCAGTTCTCACTTAGGGGCCCTCATAAGTTTGCAGTCAGATGGTGGGTGGTACTGGGGTCATCGTGAAGGCCTATTCACATGTAAGGCTAGCTCCTGGGCTGGGGAGGCAACAGCTGGGGCTCCTCAAAGATGTCTCTCTCTCTTTATATATATTTTTAAATATTTATTCATATATATACATACACATACATATAGAATTTGTTTATATATGTGTGTGTGTGTGTGTGTGTGTTCACATGGCAGCTTCAGGTGTCCAATGTCCTAAGATAAATAAATGGAATCTTCATGGCTTTTTCTAACCTAGCCTCAGAAGTTACCTGATGTCCTTTCAGCTGTGTTCAAGTCATGAAAGCAGTCATGAAGAGCTGCCCATATTCCAGAAAATGGGACATAGACTCTATCTCTTAACGAAAGAAATGCCCAAGAATTTGCCAAGATATTTTGAAATCACTACAAGTGGAAAGAAAAACAAAAATATTAAAGAAGTATAATAAAACCATTGGGCCATACTGAGTGCTCATTGGAGATAGGTACTCATGAATTAAAGAGAGACCCTTTGGCAGGGCTATGTTTTTATCAATCGACTTTTGGCTGCTTGGGTACCAATCCAGGAAGGAGGATGGTTGGGTGTAACATGGGCTTTGCCAACAGCTCCTATCATCTCTATGAAGATGAAAGCACTAGGAGAGCAGGGACCTTGTCTGTCGCACTTTTGGCAGGATCTCAGAGATTAGAGTTGGGCTTTGTACAAAGGGGTCCCTCAATATATCTGTGTGATGGTTGAACCTGACCCTTTTTTGCAGCTTTTGTTTAAGCTGTTCTTTCCAATCAGGATGCCTCCCCACCGCCCCCATCACCAATTCACTATATGACTTTGCACAGATCACTTAACTGCTTGGGGCTTCTTTTTTGCACCTATAAAATGAAGATTATATGATATTTAAGGTCCCTTTCAGGTATAAAAATCATATCTTCCTATCTTATCCCATTCATCTGATGACTTCCAACAATGATGCCAAAACACATCAGCTCAGATGAAGGCACTAGCTCAGGTGCCCTCGCGTTTTTGCCTTACAACTGATCCACTTAAGACACAGCCTCTGAAAACACATTGAATCTAAAAGCGAAGCCTCCTACATTCAATAAATCCTTGTTGGATTTCAGTAAGAGACTGCAGAGAAAGAAGGATTGATGCTGGATCTGTAAAGTGCCTTAGAGAAAAGACAGATCTGGCCCATTCTTTGCCCTCTTGGGTGTTCACATCCTTTCTTAGCTATCACCCAACCCAGTCAGATAAATATATCTCTTTTTATCTTCCCACATATGTCAATCCCTTTCTTTCCTGAATCATTTTTGTTGCTTTACTCTCAACCTTCCCCATTCTGTCTTTGCCTTTTCAATGCTTAACGTCAGGACCATCCACAGGGTAGAAGACAGTGGGGTATGCAGAGGAAATAGAGGGGTGGAGGCAATAGACAAATAACACTTAGTAAGACAGCAATATTCACTGAGCATTGTCTGTGCCCTGAAGGCTACAGTACCTCCAGGAGTCAGATTCGCAAAGCTGTCAACTACCTATATGGTGAATTTGAGGGCCTGAAGTAGGGTCTCCTGCTAAAAAATGGCTAGCCTAGATTCAAATGCCACCTCCATCACTAACTAAATATGTACATGACCTTGAATAAGTTAGTCCTTAATCATTCCATTCTTCAGTTTCCTCCTCTAAAAAAATGAAGATGATAGTACATCTGACTTCACAGAACTGTTGTGAAAACTGAATAAAACAATACACATTAAGTGCTTAGAACAGTACCTAGCACATAGTAAGTGCTCAATAAATGTGAGATATTATCTATTATCTTTCATGATGTCTGAAATTCTACCTAATAAAGACTTAACCCTTGTAAGTGAGGGAAAGAATCTATCCTTGATGTTAGTCAAGGATATTCTATTAAATATATTCTATTATATTCTATTCATGTTCTCAAGTTAAGACACCAGTTATGCTCCTGCCTTACTCTGTTATAAATGAGATTCCAACCTTGGGCCCCTGTAACTGTCCCTGCTTTTATAATCTGCCCAATGTCCAATTCCTCTACCATAGGCTGTATGCCTTTAGTCTCCATCTGGTTACTAAAATCCAGCTTCTGAAATTCAGACCCATGGATGGAGTTCTGCCAGGTATGCAGTAGCCATACAAGAAATACTCATTGACTGACTGCCCAGCTACCTTCTACTGGTCTCCTTGATCCTGACCTAGAATGGTGCCCCATATACACGCTGCTCTGTGCTCTCTCACCTGCACTCGGTGGCTGCTTCCTTACTGCCCACATCTGAGCCCTCCTGCCACCCTCTGTGAGCAGACAGGTCCAAAACATCAGCCAAACCACCACCCTGTTTCTGTCTTTTTGGCTGATTAAACTAGATCATTAAATATTTGGGAGCTCTTCTGTTAAACACATATTCCATAAATCTCCTGCTCTAAAACTTCACTTATCCAGGTTCAGACAACAAGGATCCACTAGGCACATTTAGCAACGTGTACCAGCTTCCTCCCTCTTCTACATTGCCCTCTGCAGCTCTCCATGGGTGTTCCAGTGAGAGCCCCCCACTTGTCGCCACTGCCCAGGATCTCTGCCAAGTGCAGGAAGAGTCAAAACCATGACAGAGGAGATAAGGCTATCAGATCAAAGGGTTCAGGACAAGAGAGGAGTGTAAATTAAGGCTGGAAAAATAGGATGCAACAAGATCAAGGAAGCAGACAAGTCTGAACAGGAGATTGGCATAAGAGTGATGTTTCAGGAGGGGTTCTGGCCCAGGTACACCATGTTGGGATGAGAAGGGTTTGGAGGTGAGAAGACCAGTGAAGGGAGCACAGATCCCTCTGAAACTCAGAAGAAAGGTAAACCTTTGGTCCCGGGGGAAAAAATAACACCGAAAATTTTGCATAATATTTCAGGGAGTTGACAGATCTTTAGAGCCCATTCCTAGGACTTTCTGGGGCATCCCTGAACTTTAGGTTAAAAATCCCTGGAGCAGAATCTTACAACCAATCAGCACCTGGCATAGGGTGGTCACCCAAATGGTAGTTGTTATGCACTGAATGCTTGTGTCCTTCCAAAATTTATTTGTTAAAGCCTACTATGGTTTGAATGTGTCTTTCCAAAATTCCCTTTGCAACTTAATCCCCAATGAGATAATATTAACAGCCGGAATCTTTAAGAAGTGATTTGGTCATGAGGGCTCCACCCTCATAAATGAGATTAGTGTCCTTATAAAAGGGCTCAAGAGAACTAGCTAGTCCCTTTTGTCTTTCTGCCATATGAGGACACAGTGGGGATGCAGTGCTTCTCTTGGAAGCAGAGAGCGAGCCTTCCCCAGACACTGAATATCCTGGCACCATGATCTTGGACTTCCCAGCCTCCAGAACTATGAGAAATAAATTTCTCTAAAAAGAAAAAGAGGGAGAGAGAGAGAAGGTCTCGCTATGTGGCCCAGGCTGGTCTTGAACTCCTGGGCTCAAGCAATCCTCCCACTACAGCTTCCCAAAGTGCTGGAATTACAGGCATGGGTCACCATGCCCAGCCACAAGAAATAAATACCTATTATTTATAAATTGCCCAGTCTAAGGTATTTTAAAAAAAAAACCAGACTGAACTAAGACAAAGCCCTAACCCATAATGTGATGGTATTAGGACATAGGCCCTTAGAAGGTAATTAGTTTTAAATGAGGTCATAAGGGTGGGCTCCCATTATGGGATTAGTGCCCTTGTAAGAAGAGGAAGAGACACCAGAGCTCTTCCTGCTCTCCACCATGTGAGGATACAGCAAGAACATAGCCATCTACAAGCCGGGAAGAGGATCCTCACCAAAAAGTGAATATGCTGGCACCTTGATCTTAAACTGCTGAGCCTCTGGAAATGTATGAAATAAATGTCTATTGTTTAAACCACCCCATCTATGGTCATTTAGGATAGCAACCTGAGCTAAAGCAGTAGTGTTTAATCCCACAAAAAAAAAAAATATCTACTTAGTCTTTGGTGAAAGAAAACAGAACTTGATAAGCATGGTAGTAAATGGTACTAATGGAATGGAAGATAGGAAGTAAACTCTAGGCCATTCAAGAAGGAGGGGGCCGGATGCAGTGGCTCACACCTGTAATCCCAGCACTTTGGGAGGCCGAGGTGGGTGGATCACCTGAGGTCGGGGGTTTGAGAACAGCCTGACCAACATGGAGATCCCTGTCTCTACTAAAACTACAAAATTAGCCGGGCATGGTGGCACATGCCTGTAATCCTAGTTACTCAGGAGGCTGAGGCAGGAGAATTGCTTGAACCCAGAAGGTAGAGGTTGCAGTGAGCCGAGATCATGCCATTGCACTCCAGCCTGGGAACAAGAGTGAAACTCTGTCTTTAAAAAAAAAATAAATAAAAAAAAAAAAAAAAAAAAAAAAACAGAAGGAGAGCAAAAACCAAGACTTTGAATTTTTTTAATTTGGGGATTTGGGAAATGAAAAAAATGGAAGTTTGAATATTTCTAAATAACCAGATAGATGGTGATGTATCCAAATGAGAGAGGATGCCTGTGTTTTGTTGATTTGGATTTTTTGAATTGCTTATGGAGAGGGATGTAAAGTTTGACTCACTCATCCAACAAGCTTTAATTAACTGCCTAGAATGTGCTTGGCCCTGGAAACATCAAGAAGAAAACAAGCAAATCCTTGCCCCCACAGAGCTTATATTGCTGTGGGAAAACACACAGGCAAAGAGCAATGACAATGAAGGGGTTGCTGAAGGGCAGGAGAGGTTTGTACAAAGCGTGAGGAGCAGGCTGGAAGGCACAATCTGCCTGGGAAAACCATGGTGGAAATTGAGTTTGAGCTGAAACTGAAAATAAGCTTAGAGCTTTGCCTAATGGAATGAAGAAGGTTGGTATTACAGAGCCCTAAATTTGGGCAGGAGGAACTACATGTTACACTTTTTCCCCCAGGCCCAGTAGCCCACCTTTACGTTCTTGGTCAAGTGCTGCGTATGGGAAATGGGAAGAAAGGATCCAAGAGAATGTAGAAAAATCACACTGGCAACTGAGGAGAGGATGAGAAGCAGGAAAAGATTTGAGACACTAGGGAAAAAAAGCAAAACAATGAGGTTGTATTCATGAACCTAAACTCCAAGCTGTTTTCCCCAGTGACAAGATAGAGGAAAAAGACAAAATGTGAAAATCTGGACTGGCACAGTCAGATAGACTCCAGTTGGGTTACCTCTGGGGAAATAGTAAAATCACCCTGCAGGGAGCTCAAGGAGCCTGAGTCTTTGAATTGCGTTTTAACAGCAACATAGCCAGATTTTTTTCCTCTGGTCTGCAATTGTATGGGCCTCCATGATTTCTGAATAAGTCATGCAAGGGATTTTTCCTGAAGTGGGAAGCTTTCCATGGCAGTTTCTTGAGAGCCTTGAACATGATGCTTTGGCAGGTATGTGGCTGCCCAGCAGGGAATCCTGGAGCTTTGAGCAGCTCTGGCAGTTGCAAGGAGGCAGGTCACACAGCTTCAGAAATCTTCTGAAAGAAAAAGCAGGAGAGTCTAAATTTAAAGAGGAGAAGCAACGGCTATGGAAAAGAGGAGAAAAGTACCAAAGATTTTTAGAAAACAGAATAGAAAAGATTAATTAACTTCAAGCTCAGAAAGAAGCAAAGTAAAAGGAAGAATTTAGGCCGGATACGGTGGTGTGTGCCTATAGTCGCAGATACTCAGGAGACTGAGGCAAGAGGATGGCTTGAGCCCAGGAATTCAAGGCGGCCATGAGCTACAATCACACCACTGCACTCCAGCCTGGGCAACAGAACAAGACTCTACCTCTAAGAAGAAAAAAAAAATGGAGGGATTTAGAATAATGCCCAAATTTCCTATCCAGGGAACTTGGGTTTTGATAGTGTACTTCACAGAAATAAGGACTGGTGGGAATTCCCGGAAGTTTGAGTGGGGATGGAGATCACCAGAAGGAGAGATAATGAGCTAGTTAAGTTTTAAAAGTGTTGTTTTCATGTACCTTTGGAATATGCCACCAAAAAATACATTAAATAGGCCAGACGTGGTGGCTCATGCCTATAATCCCAGCACTTTGGGAGGCCGAAGCGGCCGGATCACTTGAAGTCAGAGTTCGAGACCAGCCTGAGCAACATGGTGAAACCCTGTCTCCACTAAAAATACAAAAATTAACTGGGCATGGTGGCATGTGCCTGTAATCCCAGCTACTCAGGAGGCTGAGGCAGGAGAATCGCTTGAACCTGGGAAATGGAGGTTGCAGTGAGCTGAGATTGCACCACTGCACTCCAGCCTCGGCGACAGAGCTGACTCTGTCTCACAAAAAAATAAATAAATAAAATACATTAAATACACTAGATTAGAGTTCCAGAGACAGTAGACTAAACACAGTGACTTTGGAAGTAACTCATGTAAGTGAGTGAAGTCATGAGCAGAGATGAGACTACCCAAGAAGAAGGTAGAAAATAAGAATACAAGAAGGTTGAGAGGAAAGAGGTTGAGGAAGATTTCCCTAAGGGAAACTAATATTTAAAGACTAAACAAAGGAGATTGAGAAGGACTGAGACAACTAGATTAAACAGGAGAATAGTGCCAAGAAAATGTAGAAAAGAATTTCAAGAAAGGAGTGATCAAAAAGGTCAAATGCCCCAGAAAGTTTAAATAAAATGTCACCTGAAACGTGTCTATTGAATTTAACAACTGGAAAGTCATTGATAACCTTTCCAAGATGGGGAAGAAAATAGATTTCTGATGACTGAAGAGCAAACAAAGGTGAGGCAGTGTAGACAGCTGTGTGATGAGATTTGACTGTGAAGGGAAGAGAGCTGGAAGTGAGCAGGGGAATATCTACAAGAGGCATTGGGCCACCAGCAGATGTGTGTTTGTTGCCATTGTTTTCTATGGGGTAGATTTGAAAGTGTTTATATTTGGCAAGGAAGAAGCCATTGAACAGGAAGAGGATAAAAATACAGAAAATAGAAGGGAAATTCGATAGAGTGAGGTCGTGGAAGAGACTGGAGGGTAGTACTTCAGCTCACAGATGAGCCGTGGGAAGGAGAGACTCATCCTGAAAGCATGGCAGCAGGAGGTGAAGGCTGATGCTGATGAGACAAATGTAGACATGGAGCAATTACTGTCTGTCTTTTCAGTAGGTAGGAAAATGGTAGGTAAGATTGTCCACAGAAAGTGAGGTAGCTAGAGGGGAGCTGGAAGTCTGGAAAGACTTGGAGAGGTGGAAGAAAATGTTAAAGGGTTGCCAGAGTTGTACATTGCCTTGACACCGGATGCTATAAACCTTCATCTACACCAGTATATGTGTATGTTGTGTGACTGCCTCCAGCATTTCTCAGACTGTCAGGTTTTGGAGATGGAGCTCCCTAGATGTTAAGAAGATGTGAATTGGAAGTTGCAGGACAGGTCTAACAGACAGACAAGGGAACAAAGGAATTAAGGATACCAGCAAGGAAGATTGAAGGATTGATGTGCCATGAAATTTCATCTGGAATGATAAAGAAATGAAACCAGGAAGGAGCTGACAAAATTGAAAGAAACATGAGGGATCAGGAAACTTCAGAGTACAAAGGGCAAAAACAAGCAGATCTTTAAAACCATCTTAAAGGACGTGTTAAGAGGTAGATCTTATGTTTTCTAATTTGGGGTACTACCAAAATGTTTTATTGTGATTATTCTATCTTGGGAAATGAGGGAATGAGAGCAAAGACCTAGTATGTTTATGAACTGCAAATACTATTTTTAAAAAGTAAAAGTCAAAAGATAACTTCAAAAAATAACCTAACAATGCATCTTAAAGAACTAGAAAAGTGGCCAGGCACGGTGGCTCATGCCTGTAATCCCAGCATTTTGGGAGGCCAAGGCAGGTGGATCAGAAGGTCAAGAGATCAAGACCATCCTGGCCAGTATAGGGAAACCCTGTCTCTACTAAAAATACAAAAATTAGCCGGGCGTAGTGGCACTCACCTGTAGTCCCAGTTACTCGAGAGGCTGAGGCATTAGAATCACTTGAATCTGGGAGGCAGAGGTTGCAGTGAGCTGAGATCACGCCACTGCACTCCAGCCTGGTGACAGAGCAAGATTCCATCTAAAAAAAAAAAAAAAGAAAAAAAAAGAAAGAAAGAACTAGAAAGGCAAGAACAAACTGAACCCAAACTTAGAAGAAAAGAAATAATAAAGATCAGTGTAGAAATAAATGACTTTGAAATGAAGAAAACAACACTAAAGATCAATGAAACAAAAAGTTGGTTTTTTGAAAAGATAAACAAAGTTGACAAACCTTTAGCCAGACTAATAAAGAAAACAAGAAAGCAAACTCAAATAAATAAAATCAGAGATGAAAAAGGAGACATTACAAATGATGCACAGAAATTCAAAAGATTATTAGTGGCAAATATAAGCGACTATGTGCCAATAAATTGGAAAATCTAGAGGAAATGGTTAAATTTCCATACACATACAACATACCAAGATTGAACCATGAAGAAATCCAAAACCTGAATAGACCAACAACAACTAAGAAGATCGAAGCCATAATAAAAAGTCTCCCAGTAAACAAAAGCCTGGGACCTGACTTCACTGCTGAATTCTATCAAACATTTAAAGAAAAACTAATACCAATCCTACTCAAACTATTCTAAATAATAGAGGAGGTGGGAATCCTTCCAAACTCATTCTATGAGGCCAATATTACCCTGATACAAGACAAAGATACATCAAAGAAGGAAAAGTGCAGGTCATTATCTCTAATGAATATTGATGCAAAAATCCTCAACAAAATACTTGCAAACCAAATTTAACAATACATTAAAATGATCACTCATCTCATATCCCCTGAAGGGACATGGATGGAGTTGGAGACCATTATCCTTAGCAAACTAACACAGGAACAGAAACCAAATGCCATATGTTCTCAATTGTAAGTAGGAACTAAATGGTGATAACACATGAACACATAGAGGGGAACAACACACACTGGGGCCTATTGGAGTGTGGAGGATAGGAGAAGGGAGAAGATCAGGAAAAATAATTAATGGGTGCTAGACCTAATACCTGGGTAATGAAATAATCTGTACAACAAACCCCCATGATGCAAGTTTACCTACGTAACAAACCTGCACGTTTATCCCTGAACTTAAAATAAAAGTTAAAAAAAAAAGGATCCCTCATCATGACCAAGTGGGATTTATTGCAGGAATGCAAGATGGTTCAACATATGCAAATCAATCAATATCATATATCATATCAACAGAATGAAGGATAAAAACATTTAATCATTTCAACTGATGCTGAAAAAGCATTTGATAAAATTCAACATCCCTTCATGATAAAAAAAAAAAAACCTTCCAAAAAGTATATATAGAAGGAATATACCTCCACATAATAAAAGCCACATATGACAGACCCACAGCTACTATCATATTGAATGAGGAAAAACTGAAAGCCTTTCCTGTAAGATCTGAAACACAACAAGGCTGTCTACTTTCACCAGTTATTCAACATAGTACTAGAACTCATAGCTAGAGCAATCAGACAAGAGAAGAAAAGAAATAAAGGGCATCCAAATTGGAAAGGAAAAGGTCAAATTATCCTTATTTCCAAATTATTTAATTTTTTTGTTGTTGCTGTTCAGATGGAGTTTCACTCTTGTTGCCCAGGCTGGAGTGCAATGGCGCAATCTCAGCTCACCACAACCTCTGCCTCCCAGGTTCAAGTGTTTCTCCTGCCTCAGCCTCCCGAGCAGCTGGGATTACAGATATGTGCCACCACGCCCAGCTAATTTTGCATTTTTAGTACAGATGGGGTTTCTCCATGTTGGTCAGCTGGTCTTGAACTCCCAACCCCAGGTGATCCACCCACTCAGCCTCCCACTCCCAGCCTATATAACTTTATATTTGGAAAAACCTAAAGATTTTACCAAAAAACTACTAGAAGTGATAAATTCAAATTCAGTAGAGTTGCAGAATACAAGATTAACAGATAAAACTCAGTAGCATTTCTATATGCCAACAATCAAAAATCTGAAAAATCAATCAAAAAATAACCTCATTTACAATAGCCACAAATAAAATTAAATACCTAGGAATTAACCAAAGAAGTGAAAGATCTCTACAATGAAAACCATCAAACACTGATGCAAGAAACTTTTTCACACACACACACACAAAAAGATATTCCATGTTAATGGATTGGAAGAATTGATATTGTTAAAATGTCCATACTACTCAAAGCATTCTACAGTTTCAACGCAACCCCTATCAAAATACCAATGACATTCTTCACATAAATAGAAAAAACAATTCTAAAATTTATGTAGAACCACTAAAGACCCAGAAAAGCCAAAACTATCCTGAGCAAAAAGAAAAAAACCTGAGGAATCACATTACCTGACTTCAAATTATACTACAGAGCTATAGTAACCAAAACAGCATAGTACTGGCATAAAAACAGATATATAGATCATGGAACAGAATAGACAACCCAGAAACAAACCCACACACCTACAGTGAACTCATTTTTGACAAAGGTGCCAAGAACATACATTGGAGAAAATAGTCTCTTCAGTAAACGGTGCTGGGAAAACTGGATATCCATATGCAGAAGAATGAAACTTGATCTCTATCAAATCAAAATGGATTAAAGGCTTAAATCTAAGACCTCAAACTATGAAATTACTACAAGAAAACATTGGGGAAAATCTCGAGGACATTAGTCTGAGAAAAATTTCCTGAGTAATACCCCACAGGCACAGGCAACCAAAGCAAAAATGGACAAATGGGATCACATCGAGTTTAAATGCTTCTGCACAGTAAAGGGAACAATCAACAAAATGGAGAGACAACCCATGGAATGGAAGAAAATATTTGCAAACTACCCATCTGACAAGGGATTAATAATCAGAATATATAGGACCTCAAATAACTCAATAGGAAAAAAAATCTAATAACCTGATTTTTTAAATGGGCAAAAGATTTGAATAGACATTTCTCAAAAGAGGATATACAAATGGCAAGCAGGCATATGAAAAGGTGCTCAACATCACCAATCATCAGAGAAATGCAAGTCAAAACTACAATGAGATATCATCTCACTGCAGTTAAAATGGCTTGTATCCAAAAGACAAGCAATAACTAACAAATGCTGAAGAGGATGTAGAGAAAAGGGAACCCTCATATGCTCTTGGTGGGAATGTAAGTTAGTACAACCATTATGGAGAACAGTATGGGGGTTTCTTGAAAAACTAAAAATAGAGCTACCATATGATCCAGCAATCCCACTGCTAGATAAACACCCAAAAGAAGGGAAATCAGTATATCAAAGAGACAGCTGCACTCGCGTGTTTGTTGCAGCACTGTCCACAATAGCCAAGATTTGGAAGTGACCTAAGTGTCCATCAATAGACGAATGGATAAAGAAAATGTGGTACTTATACACAATGGCGTACTATTCAGCCATAAAAAAGAATGAGATCTTGTTATCTGCAACAACATGGATGGAAGCAGAGGTCATTATGTTAAGTGAAATAAGCCAGGCACGTAAAGACAAATATCCCATGTTGTCTCTTATTTGCGGGATGTAAAATCAAAACAATTGAACACATGGAGATAGAGAGTAGAAGGATGATTATCAGAGGCTGGGAAGTGTAGTGGGGGGCAGAGGGGAGATGGAGATGCTTAATGGGTATAAAAAACGTAGAAAGAATAAATAATACCTAGTATTTGATAACACAACAGGGTGACTATACTCAAAATACTTTAATTACACATTTTAAAATAACTGAAAGAGTATAACTGGATTTTTTGTAACACAAAGGATACACGCTTGAAGGAATGAATACCCTGTCTTCCACGATGTGATTATTACACATTGCATGCCTGTATCAAAATCTCTCATGTATTTCATAAATATACACACCTACTGTGTACCCACAAAAATTAAATATTTTAAAAAACAAAAATAAAAGTAACTTTCTACTCATCTAAAACCACTAATTGCAAAAGACAGGCCAGTTACTGGCATTATTATATAAAAAAGCTGGAAGCAGTGAAGCCAATGAGAAATAAGGTCCCACTTCTGATGAAAACGGATCAACGAGAAGTAAACTCATGCTTCTAACAATAATTGAAAGCAAAAATCTATACTAAGATTGGTCAAGGACATGCCTGTGAGTTGTAGATCTAGCTTTTTAAGGCATCAGGTTGAAATGTTACTTGATTGATAATTTCCTCAGTGACAGCCAAAGCCATGGTCCAAAAGGAGTGATCTTCATTGCCCAGCCATGAGAGCAATCTACTTGGAGACGCCATTCTCCTCCCTCCCTCCACCTCCTACCTGTTCCTCTTACTGGCTGAACCCAATAGGATGCCAGAAAATGGCCATGGATGCAGTACATTCCATACAACATAGGTGTAAATATGTTTTCAAATCGGAGGTTTGCTGATATAACTGGAAAATCCAAGAAAAAATCAGATATAGTACACGTCTCCAAGTGTTTTCAAATCAGGAAATAATCACATAAAAATGTAGATTCCTGGCTTCTCCTAAAAGTCGAAAGATCCCCAGGCACAATGGCTCATGCCTGTAATCCCAGCACTTTGGAAGGCTGAGGCTGGGGGTGGGGATCACTTGAGGTCAGGAGTTTGAGACAAGCCTGGTCAACATGGTGAAACCCCATCTCTACTAAAAATACAAAAATTAGATGAGCGTGGTGGCGGGCGCCTGTAGTCCCAGCTACTCAGGGGGCTGAGGCAGGATGATCACTTGAATTTCATATAATTGCCCACAGTATTCTTTATTCTTTATAAAGAGCCGAGATCACGCCACTGCACTCCAGCCTGGGCGATAGAGCTACACTCCGTCTCAAAACAAAACAAACAAAAAATTGTTTTAATCTGGCAACACCAGATCTATTTTCTGTAGGGCAGCACTCAACTGGAACTGAGTAACTGCAGCTGCTCTAGATAGCGAATGCCATCTCCAGCTTTCCCCAGGGAATACCACCTTCCCACGTGAGGCTGAGGGTGAGTTTTCACCCTTGAGTTGACAATCAGCGTCAGGCATGCAGGGTGTTTTCTTGTAAGAGAAAAGTCGTTTTCTGTAT